GGGGTCTGATTTTTCTATTTATAGCTCTGTAACCAATACGAATATATATATATATGGTGATTTTCTATTTATAGCTCTGTAACCAAACAAGATTGCAATTATGGTGCATTTTAGCATTGGCTTTTCTATAGAGAATAATTTACAATTAATTTCTTACTTTTTCAAGGGGTGGTGGATAAAATAGAGAAGACAAGATGCCAAAGAAAATGTCACGAGTGTCGCACTAGGGGAAATTCAGGATTTTTTAATATTTCTCTATGGAATTAAGAACTTAAAATTTATATACTATTAAAATGTGGATTATAAGCTCTGATTTTATGCTATACTAATTGGTTTAACATAAAAAAATAGTTTGATAAAATTTTTAATGTGAGACACTCAAATTTCTGTCATGAGTAGTAAAGGATACTTGGGGCAAAAGGGTTAAACTCGTAACAGTATACATCTATTTATAATTAAATTTTATTATTTTATTGCCCTTTGAACTTTGTCTGACTGCTATTCTTCCAATTATAAGTTGTAAATCACTTGGAGAATGTGGAGCTCGTGTTACACTACGGAATTACATTACCCATGAGCTGTTTGCGTGCATGCTTCTTGGAACATTTGATATTACATTATAAATATTTATTTTACCTAATCTAACCTTACCTAACCTAAAGAGATCCCTTTTTTTACGTTTTAGTTACTTTTATAATAACAATAAGGAATAAACAAGAAATAAAGAATTTAACTGAATCTTCTTTTTTCTTGCTGTTGATTTTCAACGACATTTAACCATACTTTTTTTTATACTAATGGTAGTAATGAACTAAATAATTTTATTCAATTAAATAATGCACCAAAGAACATAGAATAATAACATGGCAAAGACAGATAATTTCCCCTAACTATCACAATTTTTCTGGCTTTCTAACTATGCGACAAGAACCATTACAAAATCATCCAAGCTAGTCATTATCTTTTCCATGGGAATGAAGCTTGTACTAATAGAGAAATTGACAATTCTCAATTCAGAACACAACATAATATAATGTGTCATTTGATAGAGGAAAACCTTGGCTTTCTATTGGTTGTAGTTAATATATAATTAAACATAAGAGAGAACTATTAACAAATCCTGAAAGAGAGAATGTGACAGGTGGGTGGGGCAAGAGGGTTCTGATTTTCTATTTGATGGCTCTGTAACCAAACAAAATTGAAGGCTGTAAACATTATGGTTTGTCTGAGCAATGACAATTTTACAGTAAGTATTTATGTTAAATTTTATACTTATTGGAGGGGTGGTGAAAAATGGGAAATATTGTATGTCTCGCACAAGGGGAAAGACAGGATTTTTTAAAATATTGCCTTATAAATTAAGAACTTAAGTCTTAGCTAATAATCTATATCTTAATAGTATTTAAGGTTTAAGGCTATTCTGATTAATATAACATAAACAAAAGGTAGATTAATTTTGAATATAAGTCACTAAAACCTCGTAACATGCTTAGTAAAGGATGCCCAGTGCGATATGGTTAATTTATTACTTACAAATGTTCATGTTTCTCTGTCTCAGAGGAGTATATGGTATCTTTTAAAATAAAAGTACTTATGCTACTAAGACTGGAAGATATATTTAGTATATCTCATATTACATTGAATGTAATATTACAATTCACTCTGACATTAATGTTGTGAATAAAAATGTGAATGAATTGTTGTTAGGATTTGGAGAGAGTTGTGGTAGGATAACTTAAGTGCTCAAAGTAACTTCAGAAAATTTCTTTTTAATGGTTAATTATAGTACATATTAAAGTATACAATGTGTTTTTTAACTTTAGTAAAAAGGGAAGAGTTATAAAAATATTTACAGCATGAAAGCACATAAAATAATGAAGTTTATTGGAAAATTGTCAAAAGTTTGCACAAGGTTACAAGTTGCTCAAATAATCTAAAAATCAACAGCCTAGAGGGCAATTTGAGATATAGGGAGAAAAGTATTGTTAAAAAATATTTTTATTCCTCTGGAGAACTTCTCTTTCTGTTTAAAGACCACATTTTCTAGTTGTGTACTTAAAATTTTGAGACTAATTTTTGTATTTGAGCTTAGCTGAGTCTAAGGCTCTGACCAACCTCAAATTCTCAAGTGTTTACAAACTCTCACAAGATTATTTTAACGTCATGTAATAAAAATTTAGTTTTCAAAGAGTGTATTAATGTGAAAGATTTGGTCTCTGTAATCCATATTTTGTAGTGTTTTGGAATGGGAAGATCCCTATGACTCTGCTGTATACTGCATATCATCTGACCATAACATGACAGTTCTTAGCGGAACGTCTCGACATGGGGTTGTACGGCTCTGGGATAAACGTTGGAATAAGCAGGTTCAGGTATGTTTCTAGCTTATAAATAACTGACAATAAAAATGCCACACAAAATATTATTTCAGATGGATCTCTTTAATCATATGCATACAGGTTAGCCCATTGGACCAGTGTTGTATTGGGTAATTAATGTTTATTGTAATTCTGAATTTACTAAAAATAAAAAATACTTTTTTTCATCTTACAGTTTTCATAGCTCATTAGAGCAGAATGTCAAATTTGTTTTTGAAAATGTTTTTTATTATAACTACTATTTTGTCTACTTTAACACTTTAACACAATTATCATTCATGATCAACGTACACTGAGATGAAAAATATGAATTTAAATGAACAGTAGTTTTTATTCTTCTGATGCATAATTTCCTTTATTTCTTCAAAGTTTCAATTGTTAACCTTTTCATATCAATTTTCTGTAAATTTACAGTTTTATTATTGTACTTAGTACGTACTTCAGTACTAATCCTTCCATTAAAAATGGCAAACACAATGAGCAAAATATATGGTCATATGATCTATGAAGGTGGAAACCATAACTGAGCTAGGCCTAGTGTTTTTTTTACAAAAGTTAGTTCTTCAAGTAATTTACCTAAAAACTGATCATTCCACCCAGTTTTTTTTGTTCTAGTTCTTTACATTGGACCTCACCATTAATGAGGTGTGTTTAACAAACAAACAAACCAAAAGACCTGAAATGTGGGGGTTAACTCAGTGTGATATCTTGTGTACTGAATAGTGCAAATTGAATTTTACATTAAATAATATCTTTTAAATTGTATGAAATTTATTCTGTCTCCTTTGAGATAAATAAAATACCTCTGTTATCGAAAATATATCTTAAATTGTGGATCCAGTTTTTCTCTATCAAAAACTGAACTGTAAGTAATGCTTTTCTTTTTGTTTTATACAACATTAGAAAACTTATTGTGTATAACAGTATAAAGTGTTGAACATAACATTAGAATTAGCCTTTCTCCTGAGAAAAACTATTACTAGTCTCCATTACTAATTATTTTGGCTGTGAACATACAAAATAAAATGGTCCTTGCCTGACACCTGTTCACTCTTAACTCTTAATAAAAAATCTCACACACACACACACACACACACACACACACACACACACACACACACAGTAAGTTAAAATTCTTTAATGTAGTAGTGTTATTTATAAATAGACATCTATTGATGGGCTAGGTCAAATTGACCAACTTTGTATCTGTGAAGCTTTACATATTAATGTTTACTATATTTCTGTATTTACTATGTGTTGTTACACTATTTGGCAAGCTGTAAGTAAACATTGCAAGTATATTCTACAAAAAAAATTCAGATATTTTGATAAAATATTTTTACTAAGACTTGTCTCTGAATTTCTGAAGCTTTTACTAACTCATTTTGAGTGAAAGGTTTAGTGCTGCCCTCTACATCCAAAAAGTATTTTTTACGCATGCCAAAAGCCTTTTTTCTCCCCTAATTTCAATGCGTCTTCTTATGCAAATCATCATGCGACAACCCTCCACCCATAAGAGTGACCTACTCTCTTGACTCATGTGACTCCCTCTATTCAATTCTACTGAACTATCACTTCTCGTTTTGCAGTGCTAGTGTTCAGACATTTCTTACTTTTGGTGCTTTTCATGTGCTTTGCACTCGTAAATTTAATAGTTTCAATTCCAAAGTGGGAGTTCTTCAGTACTTTTTATCATATAGAAGATTCCTTGGATTTAATTTCCCAGTTTTTTTTTTCTCTCACACTTGCATTTGTCTATCAAACATTTTAGTTTGATTCATATTTCTGAAAAGAATTCTGAGGTTCATGTTACCACTTTGGCTATAATACCTCCTATAAGCACTATTTCATAGGCTGCAGGTGAGGGTGACCTGTCGTTGGATTTATCAGCGATTATCTGAGATATTTATCGTTATTTGGGTCAACCACCTTCTCCTGAACTTGCACCACTTCCACCTGAAGAAGTCAAACCTGTTCGGTCTAAGAAAGATTTTGATAGCCTTTTTCCACCACCAGGTTTTGCCCTGTCTTCCTATGCCCAGAATCAGTTATGCCTAATATGGCATTTTTAGACATGATTTTTCAGATATGTGATGTTCTATCCATTTCTGCCTGATTTTCCTGTGCATTTAACCCATGCCCGGTTTTCATGCCTTCTTCTTACCCTTAATTCACTTCTGTGGTATTTACCATCCATCTCCTTTCCGAGATGATACACAGAGATCTTGAGGAGTTTTTGAGGGACAGCCTCTCCCTTATTACATCCACGTTAGCTTGTAGGTCATCTTTGGCTCTTGCTTTACACACATGGTTTCTCTGTTGTTGGGATCTTCTGGTTTGTGATATGGCCTTGTCCCGGGTTTGTCTCCCACCCACTTATCTAAGGAATTTATGTATAGCCCCTTTTCTTTAGCGGTATGTTTTCATCCATGTAACTGAGACTTTGGAATCGCATGTGCAGTCTGTGTGTTAACACTTGACCCTTTCTTCTTTGGTAGCTCATTTGTCACAGTTGGAACCACGACAAGCCCCTGTACCTGTTTCCTGTCCTAGTCCTTCTCAGTCCTTATCTGTTCCTCCTTCCAGCAGTTCCTCATCTCATCATTTTATTAAACGTAGATTGACACGGCACCAACAGTACTGGTGACTACCCAGTGGGTTCCAGTCTGGTAGGAGCTCGATTGTGTGAATTTGATCCCCTTCAGCAATCTTTTACCACAGATCAGTGAGTTATTTGAGTTTTATCAGAGGGACTTGTCATCCAATTTCTTCCCTCCTCCTTTGTCTTGGGTACCTGTTTCCTTCTCTATGCCTTGGGATCCTATTACCTGCCAGAATCTGTCAGCGGTGGTGCAAGACCTTTTGTCTCAACAGGCCATAAGTCTGTTCATCATCTTTCTACAGGCTCTAATAGATCTGTCCTGCCTCAATCAATTTCTGAGTTTACCATGGAATCGTTTCTCTCTCGTAGGTGGGCTTTTTCTCCAGATCTGTGGATGACCAAGGTGGACATCATGAATGCTTACTTGCATATCCTGATATTTTGTCAGTCATGACCATAACTTTGGTTTGTTCATCATGGGGTGGCTTATCAGTTTTGTGCACTGCCCTTTGGGCTTGCTTTGGTCCATTTTTTTTTTTCCTCTGGTGTTCAGAGGGTTAGCTCCTCACATACATGCTCTTGGGTTACACTTTCAGCATTATATGGACAGCTGGCAAATGTTAGCTGATTCCAAACAGGAACCTGGCCACCACACTCATCAGCTGCTCCAGGAGGTAGCTTGGGTGTGCTGGTTAATGAAAGTTATTCTTTCAACCTACCCACTATCTTGTTCATTTGGGTTTTTCTCAACACCCATCTCAGTCAGGCTCAACCTTCTCCTCTTCGACTTCCTTCTATGGAGCTTTCAGTTCTCCATGTTTTTACTGCTCCCTCTATTACAGCTTGCAACGTTCTATCACTTTTGGGGATGTGGTGTTCCATGGCAGTCTTTATCCCCTTTGGTCGTGCTCATATGCAGGTTCTTGAGTGAGCTCTTCACAACCAGTGGAATCTTGCACGGGATCATTTTCAGGCTCTTATTACCCTTCCTCGTACCCTAGTCGACAATCTGCAATTGTTGTTGGACAAGACTTGCACATCAGCAGATGTCCCACTTCCTCGTCCTTGTCCAGATTTACACATTTTCACAGACTCGTCCCTTCAGGGATGGGGGCATAGGTCAATCAACAGGAAGCTTTGGAGTATTGGTCTGTGACTGAGAGGTCTTATCCACATCCTGGAGCTTCTTGCTGTACATTGGGCTTTGGTTCATTTTCTCCATCTGGCTAGAAATCATCTTGTAATGATCCATTACGACAATTCTACAGTGGTTAAACATCTCAATCACCAGGGTGGCACCTGTTCTCAATCCCTCTGTATTCAAATGTTGGATCTTTTTTTGGGCCCACACACACGATATTCATATCATTGCGTGTCATGTTCTGGGTGCTTTCAATCATGTTGTGGATTGGCTTTCCCATCCAGACAAAATCTATCCAATGGAGTGGTTTCTTGATTCTCTTTTTTTCCATTGGCTTTGCCTTCAGTGGGGTACTCCTCACATAGATGCTTTTGCCATGTCCCTCAACCACAAATTACCTCTGTTTTGACCTCCAGTTCCTCATCTTCTTGCTCTAGCTGTTGATGCTTTCAGTCAGGATTGGACCAACAAATACCTATATATTTATATTCCCAATCAACTTCTTCACTGGTAATTTCCATCACCCATACCACTCCATGTCAAGTTCTTCTGATTGCTTCTCACTGACAGCTAAGCCATGGTTTCCACAGCTTCTCCAGCTCCAACTTACCCTTCCATTACCTTTTGCTCTGTCAACCCTGGTCATCAGTGCTTCATGCAGCCCTTCATGTCCTCTGTCTTCACACCTGGTTTTTATCGGGCCTTGGGATGGAGATTTGGCTTGTCCTGACAAGTAGCTTCATTTGCCCTTCCTCCATGGAAATGTATCATCATAAATGGAACATTTTCTGCTGATCAATGCACTGTTTTTCGTGTTGTAGATTTTCTTACTTGGCTTTTTGATTGAGGGGCCTTTTGTCTCCTCGATCTCAGGTTATTTGGCTGCCTTGTCCTAGAACCTTCCGTTATCCCCAATGCCATAGGATAATTACTTTTCTTATGCTTTCCCTATTGATGCTTTCCTTCCAGATTCGTCATCCTCCATAGTGGATACCCTTCTAAACTGGGATGTTAATGTGGTCCTTCACTGCCTCACTTTGCCTCTGTTCATACCACTTTCCACGTGCTCCTTGATTCACTTTTCCTTCAAGACTTAGTTCCTTCATTTCTTAGCCTGTGGATGTCATAAATCTGATTTATTTGCCATCGATGTTTCATGTACTCTTTATCATCATACATATACTCTTCAGATTATTCTTTCCTCCCCAAAATTTGGCAGATAGGGAAGTAACTTCTTTTTTACGACGATTTTCCTTCCTTCCATTTCCCACCTTTATCCTATTTTCTGTACACGCTCTACGTTGTTATATTGCCCGCGTGGCTTTCTTCCGTGGTGCTCGTTCCCACCTCTATTTCTTGGCAACCATCCTCTGTTCGTGATCTTTCTCCTTCCACCCTCACCAGTTGGGTTCAGCTTTTGATTCGAGTAGCTTATTCCTCTTTATTGTCTTCCTCCTGTAAATTGTTCCAGGTGTCTTCTCATCAAAATTGACACCTTACCTTTTCTCTGGTGTCTCATCTTCATCATCCATTGGAGGAAATTATTCAATTGGGCATGTGGATTACTACTAATATGTTTGTCTCTCACTATTTGCATGGGATCACGGTTTCTTCCTCTTTGGACTATTGTCATCAGCCTGTAGTCATTCTTCAGACTTCAGTGAGACTTTGACAGAGTAAGTTATCTTTTATTATTCTTTATTTTCTTCTCAGGGATTTTATTTCCCTTTATATTATTATTACTCATTGTTTGTATCTCGCTCTGTGGCAAGTGGTGCCTGACCAGGTATTCTTTAACTATTCAAATCTGCACTGCCAAGCCATGACAACTTGCATATTATAATTCCATGGCCACGCAGTGCACACTGCAGAGATGTGGTGTTTCACAAAATTGCTTGTAGGTTTATCCTCGCAATATAGTTTCTTTATAAGCCACTCATGGACTACATGGGTAAAGCAGAAGGGGATAGCTGCTCATCCCTGCCATGCCTTGTATTGTATACATTGGTATGGTCTGCTTTTAAAAAACAGTGTTTTTGTGGTCACCCATTACAGTGTCACAGGTTTTTTCATTCCTCTGGACTCTCCACTGTGTTTTATCCCCCATTTTCTTCTAGTGGAGTTTGAGAGTTCTTGCCACTTTCCAGTACCAAGCTGTTGGGGTGGTGGACCATGGAGACATCCTCCTAAATGGGTTAATGAAATACCAATAAAATATAGAAATGATTATAAAACCATTCAGTTGAGAGTAGGGCAGTGGTGTTCTGCTGGTGTAGATGACATGATATCCTCCAATATGAAACATAAAAACAAATGGGAATGAGATGTAAAAATTGCAGTTCACCCCTTTGATTGGATGTCGGTTCCCAGTGGCAGGGTTTTGGATTTAGAGTAGAACCAATAAACATCAGTCCTCACACATGTATTTCAGATCTCTATATTCCTCCCTCATTTATACTTCATCAATGTTATGGGGTAATGGTGGAGGTAATTGTGGATTGTTATGATTTTTTCCCTTTCACTATCCCTCGATGTTTCTTATTACAAGGATGTTAATGCACTTAGGTGGTTCTTGTCAATTTCAAATTTTAGGGAGATGGTTTACGTTATGTAGACATCTTTTTGATACCAGATGTCGGCTTCCCAGATTGATCTATTAATTTATCATATTCACATGTGCCTCGTTCAGGAGTCGAGGGATACTAGATTCCTTCCAGTCTCATGAACTTTTCGGTTCCTGGTGGCCTAGGTTTTGGATTGTAGTTGACTTACCGATGGTATGATTCCCAGGGGCAAGCATTTTGGATATAGTTGACTTGCCGTGTAGGGTCTGCTATGCCCTAGCCACTCTACACCTAAGAGCACATCTTTTTTATTTTACCAACTTTTATTATTTTTGAGATTGAGTTTCATAAATATTGCATGGTTCAGATCACTTTCCATCCATAGTTCTCTCGCAGTTGGATGTGCTCCTCTGTTTTCCATCCATATATGTGACATTTTTCTATGATGGTCAAAGAGTATACCTAGTTCAGATGTGGTGTGGTCTCCATCATCAGATCATAAAATTTGACTATCTCATTTTAGGGAGTGTCCTTTGGATGCTTTCAAAGGATGTTTCTTTCTTTCTTTCCCTCGCACTGATCCCTCCACCTATTTAGTGCGGTATTCTAGCTATTTATGTGAGTGGAGGTAATCTACCATATCGGAAGTTATAATTTTCCTATACTGAAAATGTATTTCCGATAGGTACTTACCTCACCTCACGCTTCCCACCCTTCCTTCCCACTGAAAACCGGTACTTCCACTTTCTGCCAAAAATCTAAGTGACAGATAAGTAGAATTGAACAGAGCGAGTCACATGCGTAATGAGAGTATGTTGCACTCTTATTGGTACAGAGATGTTGCATGATGATTTGCATGAGAGATGCATTGAATAAATGGGTAAATTCCAATGGAGAGGAGAAAAAAAGGTTTGTGGCATGCGTAAAAAAAGTTTTTTGTATACAGAGGGCAGCACTGAACAAGAACAGCTATTTGTGTGAGAGGAGGTAAGTACTTATCAGAAATACATTTTCAGTGATGGAAAATTATAATTTTCATGCTAACAATAAAAATACTTCTTTTCATCTTACAGTTGTCATATTCTATTTTTATAACCTCTAGAACACCTAAATGAATATGAATTTTTAGCCAACTGTGATTTATAATGATATTTTCTTTATAAAACTACTTATCACTGTGTTTGCTGTATTGTGTGTTACTCTATTTAATGCACAGTGTATCTGATGGAGTGAAACTTCAGCTATTTGAATGATTTTTGCTTGTATAGTCAAGTAAGTAGCCTCCATACATTTCAGCTAGGCATGTAACATACACTGGCAATCTCACACATAAGGTTTATTGAGTTTTACCATGAAAGCTAGCCAAATGACCAAGGCACATAAAGACATTACATAAGAATTATAAGAGTGTGATGAATTATGTATGTTTTAGAAGAAATCCAGTAAAATAGGCCCACCTCTAGACTACTATCAGAAACTATGTTGATTGTAGATATGTTCAATTTTAACTGTTACAAGAACAAAACTTTACTTACTAGTTTTTCTGTCATAGTGTTGAGTTACAATGATGTGTGATTGGGTAGCTATTTTTTGAAATGCTGTGTGATTGGGTAACTATTTTTTGATAATTTAAGGCCAGTTCTTTTTGAAGCTGCAGCTTACAGTTGATTATATGCATGCTGTAAAGTAGTTCAAATCCTTGTTAGTATGTACTATCAAAGAAATATATATTAATGTATATAGTACCTTGGAACTTTTTTTAAACACAAGCTTTTGTTTCAGATGTTTTATGTGGGGCGTGGAACCAATAGTCCTGTGTATTGCGTTACTTTTGATGCATGCAACATGTACGTTGCCTTGGATAATTGCCTTACATTGTTGTCTTTTAACACATAATGGAAAGGTTTGGTCTACATTTCTCTGTTGTGAAAAGAAGTTTAGGAACTAGTTAGTTTTTATGGACTATGTTTTTATTTATTTTGGAGTAGACAAAGTACGTGAAAATTTTCTGAAAACCTGATACTTGTATATTCTAAAAACCTTCGTACTCATAAAAAAAAATCTCTAACAAATGATGAAATCGAAATATTTGCCTGAAATAAAACGTGTTTTTTTAATGACTATTTTTGGCCTCATCTTTATTTAAAATAACGAGCACCATTATAAAACAACTTTATGTCGTTCTCAAGATCTAAAGATCTAATACTTTCCTTATTGCCACATGTATGAAACTGAACATACATTTTTTTTAAATCTGATCATTAATCAAATAAATATCCTGTAAGTATTTACTTTAGATATTTATAACTTCTATCAATCAAATTGTATAGTTTGTTTATTGTGAAAAACGTATCAAATTTGGTTGACTTCAATTTATGTTGCGTAAAGATGTATCCATGTAGCCTGACTGCTCTAAACTTTCAAGTGAAAGAATAAAATTGATATTTTCTTTTTGCAGTAATGTGAGTTTGATATATGTTCCATCATGTTCAATCATGTTCATGTTGCTTTGAGTCTTAGTATTCATTTTATTAACATTATGTAAACTTGAATGAATATACTTTTGCTGGATATGGTAATATTTAGAATGAAATAAGTATGTTGGACATTGTATCACTTTACTGTTAGTTCATAAAGTGAACACTAAAGTGTGGTGTAACTGGCCTTTCAAAAAATGGTTTTTGAGTAGTATTGGGTATGACACTGACTGTAAAACAAAAACAATTAATAATTATAGTGTGTTTATTATGAGTTTATTTTGAAGGAGAATTTACAATGAGGAATACTTTTTTAAGATAGCTGCTTTTTTAGTTTGAAATTGAAAGAACAGATTAATGTTTTAATTCATTTCAGTATAGGTACTGTCAAATTTAAAAGCTATGTTGTTTAGTGTTACTTAAATAGTATTGCTAAATAACTCCTCTGTGGTAAGCTTATGGACTTAGAAATTGGCATTTTTATACCCACACAGCACAAATAGTTCATTGTGTAACTTTGAACGTAAAAAACAAAATAAGTATTTCACAATAAGATGGTATCAATCTGTAAACTTGTTTTTTATTGCATATTTGCAGTAAAACTAACAATTAAATTTCTAGATATGATATGTATATCACTAAGTAGGCAAAGGCTGGAATTTTCTTCCCAAAATTGTACAACCTACAGCATACCAGTCTTCATACCCCATCAGTTTTATGCCATTTCAGTATACTTACACAGCTAGCTCCTTCTACTATTCTAGAACAATCCTCACTTTTCTCGATTGGCATTCTAGTATGTAGACGTTCATTCTCTCTCCATGTGACTAGAAAATTTAGATTTTGTTTGATCACAAGTTTATATCAGTTTCAACTTCTTGTGTTTAGTTTTCGTTGTTTCTACTCGTTTGTTTTAGAAATATTTCTGTTTTGCCAACTTCCTATTTGTTCATATGAATTCGAGATTTAATATGGCGGATGATGAAATTCCGGTGACAATCGACGATGTATGATTGGTGGGGAAGTACAGGCTTTATTTTGTGGGGAGTTTGTGTCTTATGTTCAGCTGACAATTCCTTCTTTAGTGTTACGATTTTTTGTGAGGAAGGATATTGCTACTGAGTGGAAATTTCTTTTTACGGCACCTTCCACCTGTTACTGCATCTCCATGTAATCTTGTGGGTTAGGTATTGTTTTTTTTTCGTAGGAGATCTGTGGTAAGTTTTCCAGTGTGTATTCCTCATTCCCAGTAGGTATACCCATGTTTAACGAGTTTACGTTAGCTTGTGTGGATTGACCTAATTTCCTCACACAATAATTTAGGTCTTTCATGTCCTCTCTGCTCAGTATTTGTTAAGTTAGATTTTTATAATTCTTTTATTATCTAAGTTACTTTAGTTTAAATTTGCATTTAGAGTTTGATTATTATTTTGTTTTTGTGTAATTTTTCAGTGTATGTACTGGTTTTGCTCAATAGTTACTGTTTGGTAGTTATAACTTCGGCTAATTTTATGAATGTGTTGGTTTTTTATTTATACTTCCTTTCTGTACTGTATGGTTGTTCGATAATCAGCATATCTACTGCTTTAGCTTCTTTGGGACCTATTTCTGCTGGTGGGGTTGCATGGCTCCTGGAGACCACAGACCCAACCTGATAACAGATGCAGTGAGCTCTACCATGTCCAATGTGTTGGCCAGCAATGCAACTTTGCCCATGGGCTCAGATATAGTGAACGTAAGGCCAAATCCCGAAGTTCGAGGTTTAACAGCATAGTCAATGCCCACATTAAAAGGGAAGTTTTAAGCATTCTAGACATGTTGGTCATCAAATGTCCATTACTCTGTTAGAAGAAAAAAAGTTGGGATATTTCAGAAAGAAAAAAAGAACGAAAGTGGTCAAGACTCGATCATAAGTAATGAAAGTCTGGTGAAGGCCAGTTGACCAAAGCTCAGCCAAGTGTGTAGGATAAGAAGGATCACAACCGTTTGGTTATAACTATTACCTATAGCTTGATATACTGGTCAAACAACATTTCTACAGTTTAATGTATACTCACATCCTATATTGCCCATACAAAATAAACCCCATAGTTCTTGAGAACTTCGTGATTCCAAGGCTTCATCGTGTCTTCAACTGACTAATATTTTTAACCATGCAGCCCTCTGTCACCCGGCTGGACCACAGATGATACGCGGTTTACAATCTGATTATCACATAGATAGATCTCAGTTCCTGTAGGAAAAAAATGAAGTCGAAACTGCGACTGGTTCCTACACGTATGCAGTGATTTTGGTTAAGCGATGTTATCCCTTACTTTTGAATGCTAGTCCACTAACACTTACATTGTCTTTTCTCAGTGACTCTATTCAGTTACAAGTCTAGTACTAGCTTTTAATGTGTTTTACAATGTTTCACGATATGGGTATTAGTTTCAGCTTCCCCCTTCACGAATACACTTACAACTTACATTCACATGTTGCCTATTAAAAATATTTTATTCCATATGAATGAAAGTATTCTATCACAATAAAATAAAAACAGTTTATATTTGTTATACTATCTAATCCTTTTCCTGTGAACTTAATTTACTAGTGGTAATATCTTACACTCATGAATATTACAATTTGATCTAATTGAAATATATTGTACTTCTCGTTATTCTCTTTGACAATTCACTATCTGCTAAATATTTCAAGGTCAAAAGCTAAACATTCTCTCAATAACATTAATGAAAATAACCGGAGCACTGTATTTTTAAATAGTACCTTCCCAATTATGACACTGAACGTCACATTACAAAGTCTTTACATAGAGGGCCCGGGGTCGCGGGTTCGAATCCCCGTCCCACCAAATATGCTCGCCCTTTCAGCCGTGGGGGTGTTATAATGTGACGGTCAATCCTACTATTCGTTGGTAAAGAAGTAGCCCAAGAGCTGGTGGTGGGTGGTGATGACTAGCTGCCTTCCCTCTAGTCTTACATTGCTAAATTAGGGATGGCTAGTGCAGATAGCCATCTTGTAGTTTTGCGCAAAATTTAAAAAAGCAAGTACATACAGAAAAAGGTGTGGTTGGTTTGATCTTTGTATTTACCAATTCATTTTTGAAGTGTTTTATTCTTTTACTGGCATTCTTTTAACCTCATTGATTTTGCTATTATAATGTTTCTGTACTTGTTGATGTCTTTGTTCTACAATCTTGTTGTAATTCTTTTGTACATCTCCAATACCTTCATTAGTCTTGTCTTCAATTATACTTATTTTTGTTCTCAGTTCTTCTTTGAATGTTATCCCTTTTTTAAACTCCTTTCTCTTTCTTCTTAGCCTTTCTTTCAATTTTCTATCTATTTTTTCTTGTTCTCTTTCAATTTTTTGTTTTATTTTTCAAATTTCCTGTCTCATTCTGTCTGTATTTCATTCCATTATTTTATTATCTCTAGCAAATTCTCAATCTTGCTTTGTGCCTATGTTGTCATATTGAAAGTTGTAGTATAGTCAAAGTTCTATTTTATTTTCTTCAAAGTAATCCTACTTCTGACAGCAGTGTTTTATAATTTGGCAGGTTGTTTTAAATTACTTGCTAAAAATAATGTGAATTTCTTATCGGGTGATGAAAACCAATTAATTTAATTCTTCAGTAAGTGAATAACGTTTATTACACACTACATCTTGTTGTAAGTATGATAGTCAAAATTTAACTGGATTACAGATGCAGTAACTTTTAACTACTTAATTGGCACTGAACTAAATAAATCATTAACCACTTCACTAACTCTCATATCTGTATCACACTCGTTTTCTACTTACTACACAAAATTTCTAGATCATTACATCATCATAACACAATCACACTCTCTCTAGCAAAAAATATAAATTAAAGTATTGAAAATATAGCTTACAATAATAACTTATAATGGATATATATAATAACTTTTTCCGTCTCTCCTTTTTTACTTTTACTTTGCTGTTACCTTGGTAATGACTGTAAATGATATTATAACTCGTTTGTAACTGTACTCAGGTGTGTTTAGAGGGTTTAAAATGTTTGAAATTTATGAAAAAAATAGCTGATTTCACCTTTCCACTACATGCGTCCACTTAAAGTCTCTTATATGGATGGACTATATTGTTATGACAGCAGAAGTCACGTGACTCTGGTAACACATGATGATTTTCTAGAAGGATCATGAAGGCTCGAGTGTTTGCCAGACACCCTCTATCTTTGTATATATAAGCCTGGAAAATAAAGCGGAGAAGAAGTGACGGCATAAATAATTGCAGATAGAGAGATATAGAGACAGATAATTGAGTCAAGTGAGCGGTAGTGACCGTAAGTGAAGTGCGTGCATCATTCTGAATTATAGCATGTGTTTAAGTAAAGTGACTGTGGAAATTCTGTGTATTGCAAAGTT